ATGTTATCAAACAAGCAGCTCTGTCTTTTTTAAGTAATCTTTTCTCTCTCGCGTTCATTCCAGTTCTTCTCGCTTAGTGACATTAAGCCTTAAGTCGACAAGTTCAAAAGAAATTTCTCATTCATAAGTTTCTTTTATGGCACTGCGTAACTGCACAAAAGGCATTCATATTGAAGAAGAGCGTTCGTGATCTGTTTACATGACTTTGCAATAAGAACTGTAACTTCTCTATAAGGTAGCTAACTTTTTGTGCTTTAGCCTGACAAGTTTTAATTTTAAGAGTATCTGTCGTCGCGTTGTTTAAAGATTAAGGCAGTCTATGAATTAGAAGTGCTAAGAATGCTTACAAAATTAGCTCATTGTTGCAAAATAAAGCGTTTTTGAAGTGCATTCGGTGCTCTTGTTTTTTTTTTCTATGCACCGAATGAATTAGTACTGCTAGATAGTTTCTCTTGGATCGTTTGGATATTTGTTGGGTCGAGAATAAACGAAATAGATAACTTATAAAGTGAGTTCTATTTCAGAATCCTTCCAGAGAGGAAGTTACTTCTCCCACAATGAAAAGTGAAGGTGGTACAATTTTGAGAGTTATTTAATGAAATCAATGGAAATTGTTTGTTTATCCCGTACATTATTAAGAGATTAAAGCCATTCTGACCCCATTGTATGATGCTATGGAAAAGGAATACTACGCTGGACACTTAGAAAAAGCTTTGAATGACTTTTTTCACAGTGATGGCGTTGTTGTTCACAAAGGAGTTGGTGCTCACTACGGCAAGAAGAGTAAGTATTGCAAATCTTTTACATTAACATCCATTTCCAGCGTTTTAATTTCAGATATAATAGAGGGATTCAGCAAAATGTCAGAAGAATATGGAAAAGTGAAATTTGAAGTGAGCACCCAGAAACCTCAATGTAACATTTGAACTACAAATGATTTTCCAGCGAAAAAATGAAACATTCTGCGGAGACGGTTGTTGCCTTTGCTCATCTTTCGATGTTTTCGTTGACTCAGAAAAGAAAGGGAAACAAAAAGCAAAAGCTTTCCATATTTGGAAAAAAGAAGATGGCAAATGGAGACTGTATCATGACGAATTTGAAATCTTGAAGT